TTAATTACTTAATGTTATTGATCCTTATTGACACTCCCACTGCTTTAGACTTGTACTTTGCAGTACTTCACACTAGTTGTAACCAGGTAAGACTGTAATGTCCTAGTCCTTGTAGTAAAAGGAATACTACGAGTAATGTGCTAATACTTAAAGTAATTAAGCTGATTGTTACTGAAGTTGGAGGTAGCTATCAGAAAACTTATGAATACTGCTACAAAGTAGCCAGGTAACAACTAACTCACGACTTAGCTGACAGAACCTCGAGAGTCTCCTCCAACACGTCCTCACGCTACGAACGCTCGACCAAGACTCATGTGTCTGTGTCCACATGTTGGCTGTTCAGCAGTACCTAAGAAAATGTTGACCTGTACTATGTAAAGATTCACAGGCAGTTTGATTTGGACAAAATATGGGCCATGTTTGTTTTGTGGTGAATCTGACTAAAAATGGTATTTTTTATTGTCAATTTTGCTTTTGAAATTTGGTCACAATGGGGAAGGCATCCATACCTTAAAGCCCTTAAGGATGTGGACCTTATTCCACATGCATGTGTGATCCAGGCCTTGGGCACAGTGCCATGTCAGCAACCAGAGCTGTCATTTCCCTACCAGCCTCCATGGCTGATGGATCCAACCTAGACAATTGGAGTGGGAGGCAGCACCTACACGTGGCAGCAAAGAGAGGGCTGTTGTCCGAACTCACATCAACGATGCTGCAGTGTACTCTCCTCTCATCTTCTGACCTCTCCCTACTTGGCTCACAGTCTTTCTGATCATAGTCATTGAAAGAAGACATTTTGCTCAGTTAGGTGACAAAATGAGGGCCTTAACTGAAGGGAGGCCCCTACTAGACTAGGATAACCCTGCTTGCTTTATTATGGAATAGGGCTTTCAATCTAAGGCCACATACAATTCCAGAAGACTCAAATTCCAGCTCTGAAGCAGTAATGCACACATTCCTGCTCTTGGACTTACTAGTACATGAACTTTTGTTCTAATTGAACTCGTGATACGATCCCAATTTGTCAAGCATGAAGTTCCAATCCCACCCTAGGAGTCTCACTGCCCAAAAAAGAAGGAAATCAGCACTTCACTTGTCCACTGATATATGTATGCATCCTTTGCTCCACCCAGAGTGGTGATGCCAGGATGAAGTGAGAGCTGTTGTTTTCATGGTATATATTAATACATGCCTCTATTTATGGGGCATATGCAATTCAAGTGTGTGTGACACCATATGACACCATTTTTTAAATACTTGATTGTATGAAGCCAACAGATACACTCATTCCTTTTGCATTTCCTCTTGGGTGTAGGCCTACAGGATGGGAGTTACTATCTGGCAGAGCTGGCACAGGACAGACTGTGAATGACTATTTTGAGGTGTGTTCTTTTTATATTTATGAGGCTCAAAGTCAGGTTTGAATGAGCCTTAGTTATGCCCTCTGCAGCCATTTGCTCTTCAGTTTCACATTGAGAAGATATATTAATATTTACTGCTTAGCTTAGAAACTGCTTAGCTACATGGCTTGAAATTTAAATTCAATAGTGATTAGACTTTCTTTTGGTTTGATTTTCCCAAAAAGTCCTAATACATGCAACTCAGTTGATTTGTGGTTTATTTTCCTAGTGAAACATAGTCCATATGAAAGTGAAAAATGGTCCATATGATAGCATATCAATTACCAGTATTCAACATGTCAGATTGTGTGGTATCGGACCCTAGAAATCTGCCAAAATGCTTATGTCATTCCTTCCCCAGCAAAAACTTAATGTTGTCCATTTGCATACCTTTGCAGGTCCTCTGTCCTCAATTCTCCAGACTGAGGGACCTGTGGCATCATTCTCTTCTTGGCTTAGCCATCATAAAACCAAAGGAAACAAACAAAAATGAGGTAAGCATTCCAAAAATAGATGCACTCCTAATGACCAGCATGAATATGACTAACCTCAGGGTTATCATTAGCCTGTTTTACGAACCCATTTTCTTTTTCTGCTTTTTCATAGTTCAGGTTTTATTGTTTCAGCAGAAAGGCTGTATTAAGCTGAATGATTGAGAAAATGAGAAGCGCATTAACTGAGCAGCTTTGCATGTCACTGGGTCACATCGCATCCTGAATATCTTGAAAATGTTAGTTCAAATGCAGTCGATATGATGTACTTCACTGAATTGTTCAACTTAGAACTAGCTGTATGGTAAAATCTGAAATTACTCCAAGTTCAATATTTTGGTACACAACATCACTGCTAGCTTGGAGGAGTGCTTCTGTTTTTCCTGCCATGTATGTCAGCAGCAAAAATTGACACCTTCGTTTGACCTAGAATGAGAGAGGAAGGTGTCACATGGAAGGAGTTGGAGGAATTGTGAGTGATCATGAAACTACAAATTTGCACCAGAAGAGAGGTGGAAGGTGAAAGGCTTGAGTTGCACAGAAGGGGTAATTTTGTCTTTTTGTACCTCTGCCCTTTTGAGTAGTATTCCTTGCACTAAAGACATTTCTCCTTGACTAACGTTTGCTGTTCCCTGCTTGCTCTCATTTGATTGTGCATTATTGCTTTCTGTTACACATTATACTTGGAAAACTCCCAATGTGTAGCAACCTTCTTGAAAAAAAAATTGTTTTCTCAGCTTCAGGGAAGATGTGAGGAAATTCTCCAGCTTCTTTCTATTAGGCATATTTTTCATAATGAAGTTCACTGTGAAAATGTTAATTCTGTTTCCGAATCATTGCAGATTTGGGTGATTGCAAGCAATAGCAAAGGTGCAGGGAGATGCTGTCATACATATAGTCTCAGTTCTTGAAGGCATGCAGGTTGGTTCTCCTTGTCAGGTCATCATATTTTGAGAGGGTATTATATCATAAAACTAATCTTACCCCTGTGCTGTACTTCCCCAGATCAAGTTCCTGCAGTTCCTCATATTGGGAGGAATTGCATATTCCATCTTTGTACCTGGGGTAATACATCCAACAGGCTGTACCTCAAGAAACAAAGACTCTGAAGGAAGACTACTCTGAGTAGTCCTACACTACAGGCCCATTAACATCTACAGTGACCATTTGTTTCTGATGTCTGGGATGCTTTGGAACAAATCTGCCACCACATTGTTCTTCATTGAAAAGTGTTGGTCTGAAGTCTCTTGATGTATCTCCAATCTCTTGTGATGGGAGTCTCAGGGAAGTAGCCCTTTGCCAAGGATGATGAATGAGTGAGTATTGGTTTCCTCATCGTTGAATCCTTTGCTCACTTTGTGTGCTGCGTCATCAGAATGCGAGAAGAATCTCATGAGTTCCCACCTGTCCATGTGCATCAAAGAGAAACTTGTATTGAATATAATGTAAAATAAACTACAGGGGAAGATTCTATTAAAAGTGAAGAGCATGGGATGCTGGGCTGTCCCTTTTCTATACTTTGAGGAAACTGCGTGGCTCAAAGTTGAACCCATTTTTCTGAAATTTTTTTTTTCTTGTCCAGGAAGAGGTGAAGCACTGGTACAAGAGGATCCTCCTCCAACTAAGAGATGGCATTTCAATGAGTTGCCAGGAACAACCAGTAGAGACCATAAAACATATCTCCTGAAATGAATTTTTAATGTGAGTCAATTCCTGAAATCAATCCTCAAAGCCTCAACTGCTGTTTTTTCCATGCTAAAGCCCTTCTAGTCCATAAAGTAAGGAAAGCTTGCAGAGCTCATTCATTTATAGATAACTGCATATGAGTATTCCTTTTGACATGAAGTTCCCTGCTCTGATTGGCTGGGACATATGACACTGTGGACTTGGTTGCAGTTGCATTCAAAGCGCTTTTCACTAAAATTGTAGGGTATGCAAGAACCAATGCATTTTGTGCATCAGTCTTGACCAACAAAACAATTAAGGATGACTGAAGTTGTGATTTTCCCTTGGGGTTCAGAATTACAACTTTCATAACTTGAAATGTCTGTCTTTGTAACTGATTTGGGCTGGAAAGGAGATATTGCTAGCCTCCATAACACATTATGTTGAACACCAATGACTTCCATTGCCTTCTTTGTTGATGAATACAACAAATGGATGCACTGGTGGTAGAAGCGTGTAGCCATGCATAGAAACTCTGTGGAGAAGAAAGGTGTAAGCATGCATAAGTGGTAATGTATAGATATTTTTTTGGCACCCTGCTCGGCTTGCAAAAAAATAACACTTGTAAAAAAACCTTCTATATCCATCCTCACAGTGTACTGAGAGGATGGACACATGAGGTTATTTTAGAAGTGTACCCATTAGTTTGGCTCTTGCAATGCAAAAATGTCATGAAACCTGTTGCTTGCTCGAATACACTCTGACGTTTACAATTCCTGTCACATGCACGACTCCTTCGAAACCAGAGATATAATTCGCTAGTGTTGAAATTCCCCACCAGTATTTTCCTGCAATGTAGAAATAACGTTATACCTGTTGCTTGCTCGAATCCTGAAGGTTGCACAGATTTTCACTCACATGCAAGATTCCTTCGAAACCAGCGATATCTCTGGCTTTGGCCCCACAATTTTCGCGCTTGTCTTTATAATGGTTGCTGGCTCGATTCCTGAGGGTTGCACAGATTTCCAGTCACATGCTCGATTCTTTCAAAACCGGCGATATCGTTGGCAAGTGTTGAAATTCCCCGTCCAGTTTCGCGCTTTTATTGCAAAAATATCAATATTCTGATTACTGGCTCGAATACATATTGATTTTAACATTTCCTGTCACATGCATGCTCGAATCCTGACGATTGCAGAGAATTCCTCTCGCATGATTCTTTCAGAACCGGCGATATCGTTGGCAAGTGTTGACTTTCACAACCATTTTCGTGCTTTCAATGCAAAAATCGCAAAATGTTCTTACTGCTGTCCCGAATCCTCAGGGTTACACAGATTTCCAGTCACATGCACGATTCCTTCAGAACCGGCGATATCTCTTACTTTGTCTCCACCGTTTCCGCGCTTTCAATTCAAAAATCTCATTATTATTGTTGCTTGCTCGAATCCTGACGGTTGCACAGATTTCCAGTCTCATGCACGATTCCTTCGGAACCGGCGATATCGTTGGCAAGTGTTGAAATTCCCCGCCAGTTTGGCTCTTTCAGTGCAAAAATGTCATTATTCTTGCTGCTGCCCCGAATTTTGAGCTTTGCAGAAATTTCCGTCACATGCACGTTTCTTTCAGAACCGGCGATATCGTTCGCAAGTGTTGAAATTCGCCACCAGTTTCGCGCTTTCAATGCAAAACTCTCTTTATACTGGTTACTGGCTGGAATCCTGACGGATGCACCGATTTCTACTCACATACATGATTCCTTCGGAACCGGCTATATCGTTGGCAAGTGTTGATATTCACAACCATTTTCGCGCTTTCAATGCAAAAATCGGAAAATGTTCTTGCTGCTGGCCCGAATCCTCAGGGTTGCACAGATTTCCAGTCACATGCACAATTCCTTCAGAACCGGCGATATCTCTTACTTCGTCTCCACCGTTTCCGCGCTTTCAATTCAAAAATCTCATTATTATTGTTGCTTGCTCGAATCCTGACGGTTGCACAGATTTCCAGTCACATGAACGATTCCTTCAGAACCGGCGATATCATTGGCAAGTGTTGACATTCCCTACCATTTTCGCGCTTTTAATGCAAAATAGCAATTCAACCTGTTGCAGGTTCGAATCCTCATTGAGTACTATATTTCCAGTCACATGCACGATTTCTTCAGAACCGGCGATATCGTTGGCTAGTGTTGAAAATCCCCACCAGTTTCGCGCTTT